GGCGTCAGGTCTGGCATCTTCTGCCCAGTTAACAAGTGAATGAACTAGAATCAGCTAACCCCCATCTCCTTCAGCAGCTGGAGCAAGGCTCTTGTATGGAGCTCATACAGGACAGAAGGACTAGGGACGGAAGCCTAGTCTTGGTGTCAGGCTAGCCTAGCTCAAATCCCACCTGTTACTTATTATCTATTAATCTATTAATGTTAATCTATTAATCTAAACCCGAGCTTCGCTTCTCACCCCTAAAATAATACTTGTTTCATTACTATGACCTAGGAAGGTCGTTTTCCCTTTCCAGTTTCTAACTATGCAATAGTCTGGCAATGTACTGGCTAAATCACGTTCCTTTTACTTTTCCCCATTAAATACGAGCTTTAATGGGATCAGGCTCCTCCCTTACCTTCAGTGATTAACTATCAAAGGGAACCTATACTCACGATAATGGCAACACTACCGTTGTGGACATAAACATGTTTTTGCAGGTGTGACTGATTCAGATGCTCCACAGCAGCAGACTATTTGCTTCATATGGGCTCTGAGAGGAGCTCTCTGCCAGCTGCGGACAGTTTAAATCTGAGGACTCTGGAGAGAGAATAAAAGCCAGACCCCAGACAGTGTGGAGCTCCGAGAAAGAGCAAGGCTCTTGCTTTCCTCTTGCTCTCACAATTGCTGTTGTGAGACAAGAAGTTGGGGATCTCCTGAAATGAGGACTGGACTGGCTCCAAGGAACCAGAAGACCCTAACCAGCAGGAAGCAGGTAAGAGAACTGCGCCCCCTCTCCCACTAACCGTTTCTCTCTCCTACCTGGTGTTGGGATGTTGGAAGGGTTGGGGTGGATGGAGTAGGGAGAAAAAGGTAAAGGAAATGTAAATTAAAAAGTTTTTAAAAAAGTACGCCTACACACTACTCACAGCAGCTGAGAAATGGAAACATCCCAAATGTTCACAAACTGATAGATACAGAAAATGTGCAACATATATACAATGGAGGATTGTTCAGCCATTGAAAGAGTACAATTCTGTCGTATTTGTCAACATAAATGAAAGTGGAGGTCATTGTGTTGAATAAAACACAAATCCAGCTGGGTGTGGTGTCTCCTTGTCATACCAGTTCTGGAGAGGTAGAGACATACAGACCCCTGGGATCACGGACTCCATTGAATCAGCAGCAACCGGAAGCCGCAGGGGTAAGCAGCAGCAGCCTTGTTCTCCCTCAGAGCCCCCACACTTCTCGGTAGGCTCCAGTCCAGTGCAAAGCTGCTGTTCCCTCAAAACACAATGAACGTGGCTGAGAAATGACACTGGTGGTTGTCCCCAGCCCTCTACACGCACGTATGAGCACCACGCATGTACGTATGCACACACACGCATGCACAACAAAACAAAGCACCAACAGATGATCTTGTGCTTTAATTTATTCATGAGCTCATACTATCAGAGCATTATTAGGAAGTGAAATCCAGGAAGTGGGACAGCTTGGAGGAAGTAGGCCTCTGGGAGCAGCCACCACATGTCCCTGTAACCTGGCCTGGGAACAACAAAGCCAGCCACAGCAGATGGAACTGTCTGTGACCTTGAGCCAGCACCAGTCCTCTCCTAAGTCGGGTGGTTTGTGGCTCTGTAACTATGGTACACACACATGGTAGTGAAACAAGTATTATTTTAGGGATGAGAAGTGCAGCTCGGAGTTTATATTGATAGATTAACATGAATAGATTAATAGCTAATAAGTAACAGATGGAATTTGAGCTAGGCTAGCCTGATACAGAGACTAGGGTTCAGTCTAGCAAACATTTAGAGTTTAAAATGTCTTTGAGTCCCTGAGAAAACCCTGCATGTGCCCTTTATGTACACACAAATGGAGACTAAGGCAGAGTCCTGAGCCCCTTGCTGAAAGCCATTTAACTAAAGTTCCCATATGTCAGGTAAGATAGTTAATTTAAAACACTAAGAAGCAGGAGTTTACACTTTGCCTTAAATGGTGCTGAGTTAGCAGTGACCCAAGTAATTTTTGAGGCTGGACATTTTATAGAACCAAGAGACAGTTCTTTCTTGAGTTTGCACGTGGTTAGGCTTGAGTTGGCAGTTGAGCAAACATGATGAATGAAAACTGTCTCCCTTGCTCATGGAGTTCTAAAGCAGACCAAATGGTCTTACTATATACAGTGGGAGAAATAGTTCCATATGAAAAATGCTTACAAAAGAAAAACTCATCTGAGGGCCTAACCATTGACCAGAATCAGAAAATTCCAGAAGCATCCAGATTAGGTCAAAGGGACTGAGGTCAGGAGTCACCAGTAACTGAGGAATATACTACAAAGCCTGCTTAATTTTATTTCACCATCGTCGTCACCAACGTTGTTGTGTGCACGTTTGTGTATGGATGATGAATACGTGAGTGTGAGCCTGCCATGTCATAAATGTGGCAGTCAGAGGACACATGTCAACAATCTGCTCTCTTTCTCTGATGGTGTCTGGGGACAGAACTCTACAGCATTGGATGGTGCTGTGAATGTAAACATGTTTTTGTTTTGGTCCCAGCTGTGGGGTGTGGGATTCAGATTGTCCACAGCTCTGGGAGGAGCCCTTTGTCAGCTGCAGATAGTTTAAATCTGAGGACTCTGGAGAGAGAATAAATGCCAGAGCCCAGAGAGTGTGGAGATCTGAGAAAGAACAAGGCTCCTGCTTCTCCTTCTGGCTCCAGGTTGCTGTTGTGAGACAAAAAGTTGGAGATCTCCTGAAACAAGGATTGGACTGGCTCCAAGGAACCCAAAGACCCCACCCAGCAGGAAACAGCTAAGAGAACTGCTCCCCCTCTCCCACTGACCCTTTGGAAGGGATTGAGGTGGAGTAGGGAGAATGAGATATAACAAATATAAATAAGAATTTTAAAAAGGTATGCCAACAGGATGGCAAACTCTTTCACCCGTTGAAACATTTTTCTGGCTTGAAAAACTGGTGTTTTAGGTGGTCTGGGAGCATCTCATTATCGAGGGAGAATTTAATGCACTTGACTTTGAATGAGTCAGTGGATTTGTATGGAGGGAAGAGCCCGTGGTCACTCCATCACTCCACACTGACAGACACGACACACTGAAGACTTGGAAAGGTGAAGGGAATGACGCTGGAGCCGTTGTGAATGCTACCGAGAAGCATGGAGTAAAATCAGATAACACCGGACTATAGGTCAGAAAAGACTGAGCAAGGGCACATTGCCACGCAGTACTGGATGGGAAACATTTCCGTGGGTCCCACAACACCTCTATGACTTTCTGCTTGTCGGTTTATTTCATTTACTCTTCAGCTCTGTGGAAATTTGGAGGGAGAGGAATTGGGATCATTTGTGCTTTGTTTAAATGATGGGAAGGAAGAGCTGCAGATGATGCTGTCTACAGCCCTTGAAAGGTGGAAGCCCTTGAAAGGTGGAAGCCCTTGAAAGGTGTCCCACCCTGTTTTCCTAGAACAGAGAGGTCTGGGGCGGAGAGAGCTTCGTTCTCTTTTAATGTTTATTTTCTTTTAAAATTCTGTGTTTGTAACTGTGTGGAGGTATGTGCACTGCGTATGGGTGCCCCAGAGGGCCACAATCCCCCACCCCCAAGGGGATTTAGAGCTGAGAGCTGCCTGCAGTGAGTGCTGGGAACTGAACACAGGTCTAAACAGCAGGCTTCTACCGCCAGGGCCTCTCTACAGTCGCAAGAGTAATCTTTAATCAGTGTTAGGTTCCCTCTGGGCGCTGCCTCCCCGTGGGGCGGCGGGCGCGAGCGGTCTTCCTAAGAAGAGCACAGTGATGCTGGTGGAATGAACAACAGTCATCCGCGGTTTGTAGACCCCCGCAGCAGTGCCTCAAGTTTCACTTCTCTGTGCTGAAGGCGCAAGAAAGAGACCGCTGGGACAAGCCAGCCGGTGTGGGCTGCCTCGTCCCGCTCATGGCTGAACTGTGGCCTGAGAAATTCGGTCCTGTGATGACTAAGCTGGCTGGTTTCGGAGGCTGCAGACTTTCTCCTTTGTCCTTCCACAGGATGCTTGAGCAATTCGAACAGGCGGCCGCCAGGAGGTACCAGAGCTTTTGAGCCTTCTGCCAGGGCGAGCAGAAATGGCTTACAGCGGGTCTCTCCACCAGGCGGGTCCAGGAGGGTGGCACTCTTCCAAGGTCGCGGTTGCGATAAGCTTGCCTTTGCAGCCTGCCTCTTAAGAATAAACAGCCTTTTAATGTGCAGAGGCAGAGGAGGCGTTATCTCCCGCCAGGTCCGCCGGCCGGGACGCCAGCCACACGCTGATGTGGCTGCAGCGCTGTTCTCTGCAGGGTGGAGGCGAGGTGGCGGATCCCCGTGCACGCACCACCCCTCGTGCCCGCCGGCATCAGTGTGTGCGTCTGTGTGTGCGCGCGCGCGCGAGCATGGAATCGCCTTAGCTCGCGGACGGGCAGATCTGGTTAAGAGAGCCCAGGAAGGAATAAATATTCCCCACCCTCCTAGAAGCTTGTTTGGGACCAATCAGTTGCAGAAAGGCGAGGGTGACCGCAGCCCGGGCACGCGAGGTGCGGGTCCCGCGTCCGTGCACACTCTGGGATAGACAGACGCGCGCGTCCAGCTTGCGCCAGAGGGGCTGCTGTTATTGTCTGTCTCCCTCTGCAGAGAACAAGGGCAGCGGCGAGGGGCCCGCGCCCTGGGCTACCATCGCGGCCCCAAGCGGGTCTCGGGAGGCAATTTTGCGGGTGGGGGGAGGGCGGGGGAGACCTTGATTTCCACCAATCCCGGGGCGCGTGTCTGCGGAGCCCGGGGCGCAGCGGAAGGCTGCGGCGCGCCGCGGAATGAACTGAGGAGAGCGAGTTCTGGACTCGTCCTGGAGGGCGCGGAGCGGGGGTCCCCGCGGGCGCGGCCGAGGGGCCCGGGTCGGGCTAGCGGTCCGCGGTGGAAATTTCCGAGGACTTGGTGCGGCGCGGAGAGCGCGTCTCGGAGGTGCCGGGCACCGCGGCGGCGCAGGAGGCGGGGAAAGGGCGGCGCAGGACGCAGGGGCATCTCTCTCTGGAAGGGACACAGCCGGTCAGATGTCCGGGAGCCCGCCGCGCCTCTCCCAGGACCCCAGCCGAGGGCGGCCGTGATGCTGCAGTGAGGCGGGAGCAGCCGGCCCTGCTGCTCTCCCTCCCAGACCCCTCCAGCGCCGGCCGGCCGCCGGGAAAGCCACCATGGCTCGTGACCTGCCCGGAGGCCACTTCCTCTAGCGAGAGATCCCCGGAAAAGTTGCATTGGCGAAGATCCTTGTGGCTGACCTCTGGGGCCGTGGCGGGGGGGCTCCCCAGCTGCGCGTGTGCGAGCTGGAAAGCCAGAGGTGTGTGTGTGCATGGGGCACCGGCCGCGGGGCTGCCCTCCTCGGCCACTTCCCCAGGCGTTGGGCTGAGGCTCCAACCACAGACTCTGGGTCGCCGAGGCTGCGATGAGCCCTTGCGGGCGGGCCCGACACACGTCTAGAGGGGCCATGGCCGTGCTGGCATGGAAGTTCCCGCGTACCCGGCTCCCGGTGGGAGCCAGTGCCCTCTGCGTGGTGGTCCTCTGTTGGCTGTACGTCTTCCCTGTCTACCGGCTGCCCAACGAGAAGGAGATCGTGCAAGGAGTGCTGGCGCAGCGCGCGGCGTGGAGGAGGAACCAGACCGCAGCCAGGCTCTTCAGGTACCCACTGCTGGCCGCCGCTCCCCTCCAGCATCCCTTCCGGTTAGTGCGCAGAGGACAGGGTCGCCTGTGAGGAGTCCCTGTCCTGCGCCCTCTGTGCCATGCCCAACCAAGAGACTTCAGGTCTCTGTCTCATCCCTGTCCCCGAAGAGGTGTTTCAAGGCACCTCTGCGTAAGCAAAGACTTGTTATCTTTCCCGACTCTGCCTTGTGTTTTGCAATTGACCCGTCACCTCTGGTGGGAAGGGAGACCCAGACAGCTTAGACCCTGTTACTTTCAAAGAATTTATTTCTTGGACTCGGCAGATGCTTAGTGCAAAGGAGGAGTAAGCTAGAAGTAGGTTAAGAAGCGTCCGGGGGCAGTTTGTAACATAAATCAACCACGCAGGAATGATGGGCAACCTTGGGCCACGAAAACGTGGAAACCAGCCTGGCCCCCACCACGGCTTTGCGCAGTGTGCCCATTGCGAGTCCGGAGTGAGGAACCATGACGCACCAAGCGCCAGAACTGCACGAGTTTTGTGTGTTGAAATTTCAACAACTTTTTGATGACATGTTTTCTCCTCTGACTGATACTTTGCTAGAACAAGTTACTAGCCCAAGGTCATTCATTTATCTACAGCGAAGTCCAGGCGCTGGGGTGAAGTCCGGGCTCTGGAATCTTCGTCTCTAACTCTCCAAAGGGCCTGGCTCCTTTTGTCTTAGCCTCGGAATGTTTTGGGGAGATGTGTGTGAGGGAAGGACCTGAAATCAGAAGATAAACAAGATGAAGGCCAGGTTTGAGAGAGGACAGCACAGAGCTCTCCAGCTGGTAGTTTCTCCTCCTGAGGGGAGGTGTTAATCTGAGCAGCAGAAGATAGGTTTGCAGCAGGGGTTGGGTAGCTCAAGTGGAGCGCAGCTAAGAATCTCTGCATGTTAGCAGCATGCTGAGGGAACTGGCGGGGCTCTACCAGGGCAGAGCCTTCTCACGTTCAGCTCCTGGCCTCAAGTTGTTGCCTTGATGGCCTCTTCTGACAGTGGGTTGAGGAAGGAGCTGAGAGAGAGGCAAGAGCCAGTGGAAACCATTCCTACTGCTATTGTCTAAAGCAAAATCTTTAGAAATAAATAATTTGTCTTTAGGCCCACTTCTAGAAAGGCCAGAGGTTAAGCGGTTCTTCCAGAGTCTACAAAGATGAGCTTGCTTTCACCTTGACAGCACTCCCCCCAGGGGCACTTTGCAGAGAGAAGGCACCTTTCTGTTCCAGCAGTGGGTGGAAATGAGTTAAAAACTTCCCGTTGGCTCGCAGTGAAGGAACCGGTTATATATATTGAAGCCTTGTTAGAAAACAGATTTCTTTTGAGAGGACTCTTGTTAAGAAGGCTTCATAGTGTGAGAAGCACAGGCTGATGGTTTCTGAGACACATTTGCTTGTTCCTGCGTGGTCTTTGTCCTTGGTTTCTGTGTTCTGAGAATGATTAAGTTTAGTCCATCTACCATCAAATGTGCCTAAGCACACATCCTCAAACTCGGTGCTTGTAAAACTGCAAAAACCACTCACTTCATTGAAAACAACTTAAACTTCAGATTAGAATCCAGAGTTTGTGCAATGCTTGCATTATAGCCAGGCTCAGAGCAAGTTTCTTCACTAAGTCAGTCAACTCTGGGAATCTTGGCTTTCTTATTTATAAAATGTGGACAGTAATATCTTCTTCTGAGTGTTGTGCTAATGTTTAAACTGAAAAAAGGATACCCAGTGTCTGGCACTCTGTGTGTCTGGAAAATGGTGTATCCGTGATTATCATCTAACCTCCTATATGTTACAGCTCTAGGGGGGACTTAGGGGCTGCCTGTAGGAGTTCAGAATATGTCACCTGTCACATTTATAGACATATTTACCCATGTTTCCTTCCTTGAGCCTTTAAGTTAATAAACAGTTCATTATTAAATACTGTTTCCAAACAGTTTGGAAAGGCTGGAGAAATTTAGTGTTAAGTTAAAACACTTTTTTTTGTTGAACATTTATGAAAGTCCTAATTTTTAGACATCTGGATTATTAGTTGATGGGTGGGGTATGTGTTTGTGATAGACAGGTGAGTTAGAGGCCTTTACAGCTTTAAAGAGTCCCCACTTTGGCAAGCATGCACCTTTGTTATTCTAGTCCCAAACATCTCCACAGATACAGAGATGTCCATGCAAATAGCCACTGTGTATTTATGTGAGGAGATAGGCACACACTTGTTGATGAATCCTGGGACAGTAGCATGTATATGTATGTGTAGAGGGAGATCTACATACAGACATGCATTTGCAGCCGCCTAGCCAATGCCTAGTGTGTGACTGCTGTGTACCTCATGTACCGGATGCTTAGGGTGGAAGGGCTTGGCGCCTCACCAGGGACAAAGCAAATAAGCAAGTAAATTGGAAGCCCTACTCAACGTCCTGTCGATGGAAGAGAGGACTTCCCTACATCTCCAATCCAGCATCTCAGATGCTCTTTTACCCTCTGGATTCCCACTCCTGCCCCAGAACCTGTGAGTCAGCGTCTATGATGGGAGTTCTGTGGAACGCTGAGGAGACAGCAGCACAGCAGTTCAGAGCGGTGAAGACTGTGAACTAAGAAGGGAGTACCCCAGGCTTGCACGAGGTGGTAGATTATCAGCCTCACTGTCCTCCTGCACCCTTAGACTGCTTACATGGTGGGGCTTATATGCTAAGCTAGAGGAATGCCTGTGTCTCTCCATGAGCTCGCTCCTTACCCAATACATTTGCTCGTCAGAAATGAGCCCCATCCAGAACATATGTGTAAGGCTTTATTCTTCGCACCTGACACGATAACAGCCATGATGCTGCAGCCAAAGTAACCAATGAGTGCCAGCTTGTACCCAGCCTCACAGTACCTCCAGCTCCGGGAGGGCCTGATAGGTGTTCTTTTAAAAGGATTTGTTCTTAATTCATGAAGATAGTTGTCTGGCCTGCATGTATGTATACCACTTGCATGCCTAGTGTCCACAAAGGACAGAAGATGTGATTGGATCTTCTAGAACTGGGGTTATGGATGGCTGTGAGCCAGGTGCTGGGACCTGAACTAGGGTCTTCTACAAAAGCAGCAAGTGCTCTTAGCTGCCTTGCTACCTTTGCAGTACCCTCCCCTGTTTTGTTAACTTTAAATTCCCTTGAGAACCTTGTATAAATGGATAAAGATGAATGCGTGGTTCCTTAAACAGAAGGAGTTAACTACACTCCTCCAGGAGGAACAAAACTAAACAGATATGACTGTAACCAATTAGATGTTGAGCAACCCACGAGAGGCAGCATGACTGAGGGAAAACTCTGGGAACCAAATGTGGTTGTGACCCTTCCTGCTTGTGGACTATTGGTAAGGCAAGCAACTCTAGCACTTCCTTCCCTGACTTGTGAAATGAGATGTGTGAAAAGTCTACAAGGGCCGTCGTGAAATGAGAGTGCACACGGACCACCAGCTGCATCTCTGCTTGACTTAGGGGCATGGCGACAGAAACACGACTTCCCCAAGGGCTGGGGAAGTCCATGGAAACTTGCTACTTGCACATCAAGCGGAAGGAGGGAAATCAGGTTTCAGAGAGGAGATGGGGTTTGTCATAGCCTTGAAGGGGAGTGAAATGAGGTGGTGGGTTGGAGGCTGTTTCTAGCAGAGAGATGGAAGCGTGGTTCCTCTCTGGAAACTTCCCAAGCCTCCCATAGAGACTCAGGGACCCGCTGGCTTGGAGGTCAGTGAAAGCATGGTTCCGGTCTCTGAATGCCTTTATGGCTGTTGCTTGAGAGATGCAGACCAACATTAGCAGGGCTACTGTCACCAGGGAGTTTTGGGGACAGAAGATGTGTTACTACTTCAAAATGGCTGTGTGTGTATGCACAGGAATGCAGAACACACGTGTATGTGTGTGTGTGTATGCGTGTGTGCATGCTTGCAGATCCCAGAGGTCGACCTCAGGTGTCATTCCTAAAACATCATCTGCCTTTTTTTTGAGACAGGGCCTCTCCCTGAACCTGGAGCTCGCCAAGCAGTCTAGGCTGGCCAGCCAGAGAGCAACAGGAGTTCTCTCTCCGCCTCTGCAGCCATGGCTCTCAAAGCTTCAGCCTTTGCCACATCGTCCTGGTGAAGAGGGTGTGGTTATCAGTGTACCGCAGGCCTCTTAAATGTCTGTCAGGTTAGAGGATCATGGAATGACCTATGAAAAAGTAGCTTGGGGACTTGTAATAAGTTGTGCTACTTAATAACCTAGAAGCTGAGTGTCAGTACACACTTGAAGTTCCGACACTTGGGAGACTCTGACCGCATGAGAATCGTGAGTTCAAAGCCACATAGGGGGACAGTCTCCAAAGCAAGCCAGCAAGCAACAATCCAACCCAAAAGACAAGGTCATAGTTATGCTTTGGCTTAAAATATGGAAGGCTCTCAGCAATAATCAACATAGAAGAAAAACCTGTCATTTGGAGTTATTGAATATAAAATGTACTCAGCCTTGTTCCCTAGCTCTTGACCCCAGGCAACTTTATAAAATAGATTTTTTTTAAATGCCTCATTTCACATGTGAAATCAGAGACCCAGGAATACAAAGGTGGAGCTGGGTTTCCAGCTGGGAGCTGTTTGATTTAAACCTCTTGCTCTTCTCTAACGATGGTGGCAGCCGAGGCATGAGTGTATCTCCCACAGCCACACCTTGGCTTCCTTTCTCCAGTGTCATCGCCCATCCCGTTTTGATTTGGACTTGAAGTTGTCCTGGAGAAAGACCAGGCCATGTTGATTTTCCTTTCCCGGGATCACATCTTCCTGCCCGTCACCAGCCCAGTTCCCACTCACCTCTTGGGCGTGTGACCGTGATTGTAAACAGTGCTTCTGGCATTAGCTCCCATCGGTGTCTCCACTGCCTACTGGCCTGTGAAATGTTCTTTGTAGGATGGCTCTGAGCTCAGATTAGGCAGCACGCTGGAAATTCCTATACCTGTATCTAGCATGTAACCGAGGCTCAGGCCACGGCGAC